CCCCCAAAACCCCAAAACCCCAAAACCCCAAAACCCCTTCATAGCCAAAAATGTTGGCAAATTTGGGAGAAAAATAATTTTTATCAGTAATTAAAAATCAGCTTAAATATGTTCAATAAAACCGATGTAAGAGTGCTACAGCCCCTGGACAAGAGTGATGGAGGGCCTATATCTAGCCATTCAAAGGGAAATAGCTCAAAATATGATACAGAAGGGGAGTTAAGCGATTCAAGGACTTTACTAGCACTGAAGAATCTAAATGATGATGATTTTACACAAAATTATCCAGCATTTCGTACGTAGCGTTCTCCTAAATTTGTGTTGGTTTGCCCATATCATTCCTCCTTATTGCAGGAGGAATTCTAGCATTTCCTACTCTCTGTTCCATTCATAAGAAGAACAATTTAAGTGGATATGGATTTTAATCCAGAATTTAAAATTTGATTTTCCTCCGGGGCTTTCTAAATAAAATTTTAAGTGAGATTTGGAATGTTTTCTGACCTAACTTATTGGTTGAACTATAGGTAACAAAGAGAATAGATCCCAAAACGGCTCTGCTTTTAAGAAGGTAGAAAAGAAAGAGCACGATAAGCAGTCGGTTAATTCTCAGAGCAGTTTGAACAGCCTGGCATCTTTAAAGAGTAAGTCAGAAATTCGGAATCGGTTTTATCTATTTTAGTGAACGAAGTCCCGGAATTCGATGATAAGACTAACTATTATAAACTATATTGGATAGCTTTTATGGAGAATCAGGGTTTATTAGATGAGCTTAGAAAGCTATCAGAGGAAAGAAACACCCACTATAGAAACATGATCAAGAGCAACGTCTCTCAGTGTTCCCAGAGTCAGACTGAAGAGAAGAAAGAGCTAAGAAAGAAACATAATAGGAGATGAGCCAAGGAAATCAATAAGAATGAACTCTGTCCTTACTCTGACTGCGGGAAATATTATGGGTCTGAAGGCTCTTTGAATCTACATATGAAGTTAAAGCACCAAGGTGGGAACAAGACCGATAGAGAGAAATTGGCAAAATCTATTGTGCTGAACTTCTCAAACAATAAGCCATTCCCAGTGGTGACTCTCAATCTCCCTCCAGGAACAATTGAGGAGGAAGCGAGGAAGCTGAACATGAGCTTACCCCAAGATATCGCAAAAGAAATGTACCAAGCAGCTGCTTCGAAGTTCCAAGAGAGGCTGAATAAAATTTAAATTTGCCCTTTCGTCAAATTAATGATAATTAAAATACAATTTTCGATGGTCTTTCAGTGAAGGGCTTCAAGAATGGGGTTTTGGGGTTTTGGGGTTTTGGGGTTTTGGGGTTTTGGGG